TGTTGTCTGTAAATGAATCTTTAAAATTAAAAGAGGAGAATAAAATGAGAATGACATCAAATACAAAGCAAGACTTGTGGCAAAAGGCTTTACTAAAAAAGAATGAATAGATTTCAATGAAATTTTTTCTCTAGTTGTTAAATTTACAACTATTAGAGTAATCCTAGCCTTAGCCACATAGTTTAATTTAAATCAATTGAATGTTAAAACAGTTTTTTTAAATGGTGATCTTGATGAAATTATTTACATAAAATAGCAATGTTATAAAAAAAATGAACTAGACCGATCGGTTCACGTCGTTCAATCGGGAAAATTGTGAACCGACCTTTAATCAAGTTTGGTACTCATACATTAACCAAAAATTAAAGAACCGACTAATAGACCATCAACCCAGCCCATTTAACTGTGAACCAGAAAATCAGCCACAATTTTTTTGGTTTCTTCGGGTGATTTAATTTTTTTCTACAAAAACTTTTAACTATCTTAGTGGGCCACCCATTGCAATTGAAGGCCTAAATAACTTTTTTTTTTTTTTTTAAATAAGTGATTCTCCTTTAACTCCTTTTAAAGGAGGCAATTCTTTCAATGTTTTGATAATCTTCTAATGTGGGATACTAGCTCATTTTTAAAGGCGACTCTTCTTCCAATGTTGTGGTAATCTTCCAGTGTAGAATACTAGCCAATTGTCAATTCTAAGTGTTAACTAGATAACTTCATTATTTTCATTAACAAATCATACCCCCAATAAGATTATAATTTTAAATTTGAACAATGTAAAGTATTTTGGACATATTAATTGTTAGTTTTTGAGGTTATATAATAAATTACTATAATAAATATAATTTACAAACATGGATTATTTTTACTTTGAATGAGAAAACTAAAATTTAAAAATCTATTATAGTTATGATATTTTATAGTTTATTTGTGTATTTATTTATTTAATTTGTCATCCGGTTTGACTCCAATTCAACCCTTTAAGCCTCAATTCTCTTCCTTTTTCAGGTCAATGCACAATGGCGAATCTAGAATTTTGAGTGAGCACGGGCGAACGTTGACTATAACAAAATATTAAAAATTAAATATAATAATTATTTTGAAAACAATTGAACATATATATTTTTGTTACAAGCTATCATGGACTTCAACAAATGATATAGTGGTAGGATTTTCTATAATTCAAAGAAAAGAACATAGGTTCGAATCCTTTCAATTGCATTAAAATAACTAAAACCAAATATGAAAAGAACATAGGTTCGAATCCTTTCAATTGCATTAAAATAACTAAAACCAAATATATATTATTCTGTTATGCTTTGTGTCAAAATTCATTGAGTGCCATGATGGTTGAACTATCAATAACTTTAATGATATGTCACAGGTTTGAATCCCTACTCTCTTACATTAGTTTTAGTAAAAATTGAAGAACTATAAAAATTGTGCAATAAATTTGGTTAACAAAAGATTCAAACCCTGCACCTTTAGTTTTATAAGTAGAGGCTCTAACCAATTGAGCTATTAGAGATGTTTAGAACAAATATGAATTATCAGATATATATATAAAATGTTTATCAACTATTGTCAAAAAAAAAAAAGCTCCCGGTGGATTCAGTTAGGGCGGCCAGCTCCCGGTGGATTCAGCTAGGGCGGCCGCCCTAACTCACCACCACTTGGATCTGCCACTGTCGATGCACGGGTCGATTTTTAAAACATTGTGAAATAGCCAAAATATTTTGAAATAAACAATAAATCTAATTTAGTATCTCTTTTTTAAAAATCTCTATATGACTTAAAACAAGTTCCAAAATAATGGTACAAGAGATTTTATACTTTTGTACTTAGATTTGCTTTTAAGAAAAGTAATTTTGATATATGTCTTTATTGCGAAGGAAATGATGGAGAAAATTCACTCTATCTACTCATCTGTCCAGTCATGACATAAAAGAGATAGAGTTAATTAAATATAAATTGAAATTTGAGTTTAAAATGAAGGATTTAGTACTTGCCAAGAAGATTTTAGGTATTAAAATTAAGAGAAATAGGAGAAAAGGTACACTGTCATAGTCAGAAATCATAGATGCTAAAATTGTTAGAAAATTTTGCTATGTCTAATTCTTAGAGTGTCAACTTGTCTTTAGCAAAACATTTTAAATTTTCAAATGAACAAAGTCTTAATCCAAAGAAGAGTTTAAAGAAATGGCAAAAGTGCTATACTCTAATGCAGTTGGGTCTGTTATGTATCTAATGGTCTGCTCTAGGCCTGACTTGGGATATTCTAGAAGTGTTTTAAATGGATATGTCCAATCCTGTAGAAGCTCATTAGGAGGCTATAAAATGGCTTTTCAAATACATCAATCGTACTTCTAATTTAGGAATTCAATTTAGAAAACAATCTGATGGTATTGTCTTGAGTAGATATACTGATTTTGAATATGCAGGTGACACAGATAATTGAAAATCCACTTCTATTTATACGTATACTCAGTGCAATTCTTGTATAAGTTGAAAATCCCAACTTCAAAAGACCGTTGCCTCATCATCCACGGAGAGAGAATATATAATTGCAGCTGATGCAATAAAAGAGGGAATATGCTTAAAAGGCCTATTAAATGAATTTGGCTTTTTTTAAAGAAGTTTTCTTTACTCTAATAGTCAAACTGCTACTCATTTAAATAGAAATCATGTTTTACATAATAGATCTAAACATGTTGATGTTAGATTCCATTTTATTAGAGATGTTATTTCACAAGAAGTTGTGAAACTTGAAAGGATTTTTACTCATTTTAACATTGCTAATGTAGGTACCAAGGTTCCACCTTTAAACAAATTTTTGGATTGTTTAAGTCAGCCGAACATTAATTCTTGTTAATTTGTATATCAAGTAAAAGAGCAAATGATGTTATGACTGTAGAAACTACTGCAAGAGAACTAGAACCATTGTACCAAGGTAGAGATTGTGAGAATGTGGCGCAATTAGGGTAAAAATGTTGACTTGAACTAATTGGCTGACTATTGACTTAGTTGAATGGAATTGATCAAAGGTGTGGTTTTAACTTGACTTATTTGATTCTTTCTGGAATGCTCAGGGGCTGTATCTTGGATTCTTTGGTTCTAGTTGTTGCAACAATTCTCTTTCGATGACGGAAATCCAAAGGGGGATTAAGAACTTTATTCTAAACCTCTTACCTTAGAGCAAAAATCTTACGTTCAATTTTTTACTTTCAGTTCTTTACTTTTCTACAAATTTCATTTGGTAAAATCACCTAATGTCTTGAACCTAAATGTAACAATTAATTTGTTCATCATAATATTGAATCTTGGGATTAATATAACGAGCAAAACATAAATAGCCCCTGTTTGGCTCCTTTTTTTCTTTTTTTTCAAATTTTAAAGTTTGGAATAATATTTTTTTTGAAGAATGTGTGATTGAAAAAAAAATGAGAATTTTTCGATTTACGTGTAATATTATTTTATGAAAAATTGCGTGGTTGAAAATAAGAGAAAAAAACAAATTAAAGAAAATGAGGCCAAACGGGGGCATACATTTAATTTACTTTTAATTAAAATGTTCCCATGACTGCTGATACATTGAAATTTGACTCGTTCACACATATCCCATTTTAAATGAGTAGTGTTAAAAAGTAAAATGGAAGCTTCACCTAAAATTGATTGGTTGGATTTGACTTTGAGTTTGTTTTCAAATAATTCTTGAAATATAGGCCGAACCAATTTCAAAATCATTAGAATATTTCTAACTTTTTAGGGAATTTTTAAAAAAATATCATGTCAACACAATTAAGTAATTGACCTATTTTCAAATTATTTTCTCAAAACTTAACTCTTCCTTTCAAAAGTTTGGTTCCCAAATCGAAGGAAACCAATCAAAAACCATTGATTTTTGGTTTGGTTCTAGTTCTCCTGGAACCGGAATCAAAGCTAACCAAGCCATTTGGGAAGGGTAATGTCAATTAAAAGTGATACACAAGTTATATATAATTCATTTGATCAATAAAGATAGATCTGCTTCTATTTTCACACAAAACTTAATAAATAAATAAATAAGGTAAATATATTCACTACACAATTTTTATTAGCTACATCACATTTTAATAACAATGAATATCCTTCAACTTTTCTTACTTTTACACTTATATACTCAATTTTTATTTTTATTTATATCATTAATCATCTATTAATTTTCACGGCTTGTTTATAAAAACAATTTTCATCCAAAATGTTTGTTACGAAGGCCCAAAAAATATTTTTTTCTCATATTTTTTAAATAATCGAAATAAGAGTTAAAATAAAATATTTGCCCAACTTTTAAATGCACATTAGAAGAATATTTGGATGAAAATCATGATTAGAGACAAAATATGTTAATTAATTAGTTAAGGGTTAAGAATGATAATGCCACTAGAAAAAAGTTAAGGACTTAAAAGCAAAAGTTAGCAAATATTAGAAACATTTCTAGTAATTAAAATGTGGTACAGATATAAAAAATTATTATGTGAATATAGTTACCCAAGTATATATTGGAACTATAAAATTTATTTATTTTTTTCTAATATACCCTTACATTGAATAATAATAGTTTATATTTCTTGATAAAAAAAATACATTAAATAATGACATATTAAAAAATTAAGACATTAATATACTCTCAACAAGAAAGTCACATATAATTTTGAACAAATAAAAAAGAAAAGCAAGTCTATCTTTGTGTGACATAGAGAGTAGTACCAATTGATGAAGTGACTATGAATTTTGATTATGTATATAGATACAATAATGCTAAATGTACATTTATTCCGTTACATTGATTTTGACTTCCCCTTTATTTTCAAAAAAAAATGTGGGCTAAAAATTAAAAAAAATAAAGAAGTTGTCCAGTGTGTTGCCACTTGGCATAATGTTAACAATGATGTAAAAAATGATGTACATATAGCATAATTCATGTAGATAATAACCAAGGTTTATGAAGAAACAAAGCGAGCACATATAAAGAACAAGACTTGATCCAAACATGCATAATTTGATGTATAATGGAATTGGAATGAAAAACTCAATCGATGTTTAGCTATCTCTATAATAGAAAAGCCAAATTTTGATTGTTTAGACTACATTCTTTTCCCTTGTACACTTGTTTATCATCTTAACTTTGCCCTAGTCCCGAAGTTTCATCAACTCAAGGTAGATCCTCTGTTTCCTTTTCTTCGTTTCGTTTCTCTAATGCTATACACTTATAACGGTTAGCACATATGACAAAGAGTACAAGATCCAATGCAATCAAAGCAGCTGAAAGGAAAAAATATCTATCCAAATGTCCATCATTTAAATTTGGAGGTATCCATCCTGGTTTCCCATGCTTGGATGTGATCTTCATCACCAGGCTCAATATTATGCTGGACAAGTAACTACCTAATGCTGAAGAAGACATCGATAAGCCAAGTCCCAAGCTCTTCAGCCCATCTGGTATTTGAGACGCAAAGAATTCCCATTGCGCGACATATATGAATGCTTCAGAAACTCCCACGAGCACATATTGTGGAATCTGCCAAAAAATACTTAAAGAACTTGTTTCTCTAACGTCTGCATACCTTAGACGATATTGCTCGACTAGGCCTGCGACTATCATGCCTATAATCGATATAACCATTCCGATTCCTATTCTCTGTAGCTCGCTAGGAGGGTTTGGCTCCCTTCTTGTTAGTTTGATGTATAAAGGAACTATGACTTTTTCATAACAAAGGATAAAAGTTGAGGTGCTTATAATGTCGAAGGCAGTCATGCTGGCTGGGGGTATGTGGAAACTGGATATCTCTCTATTCATTGCAGCTCCTTGTTCTACGAACAGAGAAAGGACTTGTACAAATACTATAGAGGCCAAAATGGTGCAGAGCCATATTGGAAGCAGTCGAAATACGCATTTGACCTCCTCAACTTGTGTAACGGTGCAGAGGCGCCATGGATTAGGATTTTGGCGTGTACTAGTTAACAGGATTGCGTCTTCTGGGGTTAAAACTGCCGCCCGATCAAGAAACCTGTTTTTGAAATCAATCAGCAGTGTTCGTTAGTGCCCATTGGGAAGAAGTAGAAACAAATTCATAATAACCTGCAATGTAAATGAATTTGAATTGGCTAACTTGAAATCATCTGTATGTGATATATTTCTTCGAGCGCTTTCCTTTTCATCCTTACGAGGAGCTTCATAAAGCCGTTCTCCCTCAAGCTTTATTTTCCTCATGGAGGCGACAAGCACCTGTGAAAACCTGGAGATGGGATTTCCAGAAGGTTTAATGTGCCGATAGCTACATGCCCCACTTAACAGTAAAATCAATGCTACTAAACCAGAAGAGGTAGATATCCAGAAGGCCAACACCCATTTCCCCAAGTTTTCTACATAAACCAACACAGTCTCTGCAATCAAAGATCCTAAGTTTAGTGCAACATAATAATAGCTGAAAAATGCAGTTTTCGACTTGTTTTCTTTAGAATCTTCTTCATCGAATTGATCTGCTCCCAAAGTGGCAAGTGCCGGTTCCATAGCCCCGCTTCCTAGAGCTAGTAAGTAAATTGATAGGTAAAAAAGAGCGATTTCTCCTCGTGATTGAGGGTTGCACAGCTCTCCAATTTTCCCACAACCCTTTGGTTCAAGCATGAATGCCTGAGTTGACGAAGATAATAGCACCAGTCCCTAAAAATGCAACAAAAATTTCAGAATCAATCAAATCTTTGAATAGTTTTTCCCCACAATTTTTCATATATGGTTAAAAAGCGCCTTAGAGAATGCTGGCAAGTTTACTTACAATGACTAAAACAACTTGAAATACAACACAAGTGAGGTATCTTCCTAAGTATGAGTCACTAAGATAAGCACCAAACAGAGTGCAGATATTAAGAGTTCCCATCCATGTGCTAAATGTGTTAGCTGCATCTGCATTCGACTGCCTCAATACCGATTTTGAGAATAGAACCATATTCACTTCCACTCCGGTGAATGCAAGAGCCGCAAGTCCCTCGATGACTGAACAACAGATCAAATACAATTTAATAAAGACTTAAAGAAAAGAAACATCCTTGAAAAGTGAAAATCTATGCATTCCACATTTGGCACGCTATATTAGACAGAAAATAAGATAACAATGTAAATACCGAGCAATAGCATTCCTGATCTCCATCCACCAGTTTTTCCTTTCATTTCTGGTTTTCCAGAAATATCTATCGTCCCATCTTTTGTGCTTGCATCCATAATTCTATTACTTCTTTCCTGCACGTAAATAGATCGAGCTCAATCAATGAGTCGCGAAAAATTTAACAATTAATTCACATCTACACTATAGTACATGTTTGATAATTATTACCATGGCTGTTCACCTTAAAAACCATATAGCTACCATGGCTTTCTTATACAGTTGTCCAATATAAATGCAAGAAAAGGGTCTGAATAAGTAATAATCAAAGTGAGAAAATGAGTGAATAAAAACTTTTTAAGCTATCCTAATCATAGAATGTTAGAAGAAGTGCTGCCAATAAGCTTTAAAAAATGTACTCTTATGAGAACTTGTTGCATTATATAATTAGCACTATCGAGGCATGCTGACCACTTGATTCATCTTTGTCACGCTCTGCTTTCTTGATCACTTTTTTAAGGAATTGATGGTTTTGCACCGGATGGGGATTGGAATATATCATTTAGCCTTTAGATAATGTCACCCAAGGACTTAGACAAACACTAATAGCAGCACGACTCGGAAGGTAGATTAGACCAACTAGAAATTTCTAAAATATGCTAAAACTTTGCTCACTGACGAGTGTGTTTTACAGACTAGGAAGAGTGGCACCCGATGACACAGAAACCTGCAAATACAGAGGTGCTATGGCGCCACTTCCAGGCGCCTAGTCCCGTCAAATATTTTCTAGGGCGCATTCTTTTTTTTCCTCATATTGAGCCCACAAACGTACAACAGTCAAAGACGTGGAGGCAACTATAAATACAAGAAATGAGGCAATTGAAAGGGAGTTTCACATATTGAGAGATAAAGAACACAACTGGAGTTTGAAGAGAGCAAATTAAAGGGGAAAATATACATAAATTCAAGGGGTGAAGTATTGATCGGAAGAGAAAAAGATCTTGGTGCAAGATTAATCTCTTTTTCTACATATTTATTCAAAATATGATGATGTATTCAATAACAATTTCTTGTCTTTCTTTTTGCACTATGAGTAGTTAAATTTCATATTAGGGCAAACAATGTAATCTATTTGAAACCCTTTATTTATTTATTTATTTATTCGAGTTTATTGTTATTTTATCATACATGTGTTGATATCACTATGAGTTTGATGCGTCACTAATTTGATGATTTCGTGAGTCTTTTATGAATCGAGATGTGAGTTTGAGATTTAAACCGTATAGTGAAATTGGATAAATTAGTAGAACATGTAGAAATGCGTATACTAATTGTTGGGGTTATTATATGAATTCTTAGAAATATAATATAATTTAACTAAGGTTGATTCGCATAGAGATATATGATTGTATTGGTTAAATAGGTTAAATGAGAACTCGAGATGGGTAAATTAAATACAATAGAAGAATTCATTCAAACATTACATTAAATTTTTAAATTTTGAATTAAAACTTAAAGGCGATCAATAGGTGAAATTGTTTTGCTCTAATATCCATTCATTATTTGAATTCTAAATTAATCTTTGTGTGTATTTGACTAATTTCAAGTGTTTAAACCAAAAAAATCACAACAAATTATAATTCTTTGTTTACTTCATCAAATAAGAGTTAGAAAAATTAGATTAAATCCTAGAGTTTGTACTCATGGGAACGATAATCGAAACAATCCACTATATTACTTGTTATGATATCTTACACTTGCGATGGTTTAAGCCCTTTGTACAGAAAGGAGGCTACAAAACTCCACCAAATTACTCACATGGTGAGCTCCATGTAGGTGATAAAATAATATGATGGGGATTGGAATATATCATTTAGCCTTTAGATAATGTCACCCAAGGACTTAGACAAACACTAATAGCAGCACGACTCGGAAGGTAGATTAGACCAACTAGAAATTTCTAAAATATGCTAAAACTTTGCTCACTGACGAGTGTGTTTTACAGACTAGGAAGAGTGGCACCCGATGACACAGAAACCTGCAAATACAGAGGTGCTATGGCGCCACTTCCAGGCGCCTAGTCCCGTCAAATATTTTCTAGGGCGCATTCTTTTTTTTCCTCATATTGAGCCCACAAACGTACAACAGTCAAAGACGTGGAGGCAACTATAAATACAAGAAATGAGGCAATTGAAAGGGAGTTTCACATTTTGAGAGATAAAGAACACAACTGGAGTTTGAAGAGAGCAAATTAAAGGGGAAAATATACATAAATTCAAGGGGTGAAGTATTGATCGGAAGAGAAAAAGATCTTGGTGCAAGATTAATCTCTTTTTCTACATATCTATTCAAAATATGATGATGTATTCAATAACAATTTCTTGTCTTTCTTTTTGCACTATGAGTAGTTAAATTTCATATTAGGGCAAACAATGTAATCTATTTGAAACCCTTTATTTATTTATTTATTTATTCGAGTTTATTGTTATTTTATCATACATGTGTTGATATCACTATGAGTTTGATGCGTCACTAATTTGATGATTTCGTGAGTCTTTTATGAATCGAGATGTGAGTTTGAGATTTAAACCGTATAGTGAAATTGGATAAATTAGTAGAACATGTAGAAATGCGTATACTAATTGTTGGGGTTATTATATGAATTCTTAGAAATATAATATAATTTAACTAAGGTTGATTCGCATAGAGATATATGATTGTATTGGTTAAATAGGTTAAATGAGAACTCGAGATGGGTAAATTAAATACAATAGAAGAATTCATTCAAACATTACATTAAATTTTTAAATTTTGAATTAAAACTTAAAGGCGATCAATAGGTGAAATTGTTTTGCTCTAATATCCATTCATTATTTGAATTCTAAATTAATCTTTGTGTGTATTTGACTAATTTCAAGTGTTTAAACCAAAAAAATCACAACAAATTATAATTCTTTGTTTACTTCATCAAATAAGAGTTAGAAAAATTAGATTAAATCCTAGAGTTTGTACTCATGGGAACGATAATCGAAACAATCCACTATATTACTTGTTATGATATCTTACACTTGCGATGGTTTAAGCCCTTTGTACAGAAAGGAGGCTACAAAACTCCACCAAATTACTCACACGGTGAGCTCCATGTAGGTGATAAAATAATACCAAAAAATCACCCGTCCTGGGCTTCTATACATGCAACTTAACTCCACTTGCGATAGAAAAAACGTAACACTCATTCTATAAAACAATAATACACAGATAGAGGCTAATTCACTCGATATAGATGATATTAGGAATCTGATCTCATAATTTAGCAGATAAGTGCTCATTATGATTATTTTGTTCGGTTTAAATTGCCTTTTGTGCATCAATTTTGAGATTTAACCTGAACAGTCTTAAAGAGTGAAAGACAATCTTGAATAAAAAGAATAGTTGAACTTCAAGAAATGTCCCATCTTAACTATCTTAAAACATTATTCATGCTCTTCGTGGGATACAATGAAACCAACCTCTTAACTATACACGTACTATTAATTAGTTGCGTCTTGCACTGACAGAACCAAGTAATCGCAGACATAATCTTTATAAAATAATCAAATGGTTTAAATGAATGATTTTTCCACTATTAAATATGAATCGCCTAATTCCTACTCAAGTTTAAAGCTTTTGTTTCTCTGCAATGCAAAGTGCAAACCCCTGTGTTTCTAGATAAAGGCACAGTATCATAGTTGCCAACAAAAAGTAGAGGCAGAACAGAAAAAAGCTTTCCTTTTTGTTGCTTTGGCATGCTAAATCAAAATCTTTTTACAATATGAACGCATCGATTGTAAATGGATTTTCTCAATGATTATGTCTGTTTCATTTTTTGATTTTAGGAAAAGATGAAGAACACACATGATTATGGCAAGAAAAAGCTTTTGACTACAATCAAATCAACTAATATTTCTGTGCATAGAAATAGATAACATTGTACCTCAGAATCATTCATCAGTATTAGTACTGAAGTGAAGGGAAGGGAAGGGACGAAACCGCAGTTTTATCTCCATTTTTTCTTCTAGAGAGAGAGGAAAAAAAGGGTTTTGAAGATGAAAAAATGGTGGGATTTAGATCAGTCGGTGCCATGCAAATTTTTCTGTCATTACATTAAAGCCTGAGTTCAACTGGTTATGGAGTTAGCATTTTCATGTGATGTACATTTTAATTTTATTGACATATTGGTTGACGTCACCAAGTGAAACATGAGCAGTTGTAATTTGAATTAACTTTGACCGTAGCTTTTTACAGTTTGGGTCAAAGTTGTTGACACTGGCCCACAAGTCTTAATTCATAGGAACATTTACTCCTTTTTTGGTACTGTCAGGCACTCCTATAAAAAGGTATTTTACGAAGTTGTTTGGTAGTTTTTCAAGCCCTCATAAAGGATTCCTTTAACCAGATTTTTGATAAGTTAAAAAGTTGGACGCGGTTTTCAAAAAGTGAAAAGGAACTTTTGTACTAAAACTTTATTTTTGGACTCATTTGACTAATCGCATAAAATTGCTTATTCTAAGTAAAATAACATTTAGAGAAATTTGGTCCAATGTAATTTTCTCTAAAAGCATAGTTTCTTTCAAAAACTCTTTTCTAGAAAGGAAAAGCAAAAAATTCATGACAAATGGATCCTTATATAATTTTCTAAAAGTGCTTTGTCTAATTAGAAGAGCTTCTAAAGAAGAAATATACTCACAAACGAGTTCAAAATGTGAATGTTACGAAATATTTGAATAAAAACTAAAAAGCACAATCAGCTTGAACATGAAGTCATTTAGCCCCTATTTGATGGTTATGTTTTGGCAAAAATAAAGTTTTGAATAGTAAATTTTTGGAGAATGTATAATTAAAAAGTATGAAGAAATTTTGGATTTAAGTGCAAAATATTTTATTATATTAATGTGTGGTTGATGATAAGTTCATCTGAGGTACTATTTTATGTCACATTACTAAACTTTCATGTCGTCAAATTAGTGATTTTATATTTAATCTGGGATAAATTTCATTTGCTTCAATGTTCAACTCGTTTGAAGCAATTGGAGAGAAAGAAGGAAGAAAATCGAATAAAAATGCAACTTTGGGATCAAACTCAACATACTAAAAATTCAAGGACTAAATTGCACTATTCTAAAAAGAATGAGGGCTTGAAGCAAACATCACATTAAATTGGCCTCAATGTGGAACTTCAATGAGAATTGATTCAAGTGGGCTTGGACCATTTTTCTTGAATTAGTGGATTGAAATTCGAATGACACCAAAACATTGAGGGGCCGGCTGTTGAAATTGGAGCAAGTTTTCGTGAAAAAAAAAGAGGGCTGCATTAGAATCCAATTAATACAAGTAAT